TGTAAGTTATTTACATGCTTTTATATTTATATTTTGATCTTCATGAACACTTCACAAGCATCCACTTCTAATGATGATTGTATTAAATTATATTTAGATAAGAAAGATATTTCATTTTTATTAAGTATTGTTGAAAAGTCTGAAGATATAGTGCCTGTTGGTCAAGAAAAATTTAAAGAAATATATTTTGATATAGATTATGCCTGCAGACATAATATAGAATTTAACTCTGTAAAAACTAGTAAAGAAATTAAAAGAGTTGAAGATGTCATAACTAAATTCGAAAATATAAAAGAAGAAGTTTCAGAAGGAATAGTTTTTGGATATATAACTAAGAAAGATCTACCTAGAGCTTATAAAAAATTAATTGAATATAGAGAATACTTGGAACAAATAGAAAAGTTAAAAGAAAATCGTATAAGATAATAATTCCCAATTATCTAAGTAACTAAAAGATATAGGACTTATCTTACAAAATATTTCATTAAGGGCAAAATAGTACTTTAACTAGATACAATTTTATATTATTAAAAGTCTTTGTGAGTATTCTGTTTTTAAGCCTGGCTTTAATCCTGGCTATATAGCATTGTCCTACTCGAGATCAATGAACAAAGTTTTACCATAAGCAAACAAAGAATATTAAAAATACACCAATTCAATTTAAGAAATTCCAGGGAAAGAAGGATAATCACGATTGAATTTGGGCCTCTAACGTTTAGCGTGTGGAAGCAATTAGATTGAGCACAAACTTGTGGCTATGAAAATTTGTCACTGTTACATTACTGAAAAAGAAAACTTTGAAATTATGTATTTTCTTGTAATTCTTTATTCTTTTTGCTTATAAAAAAAAAAAAAATTGAAATTTGTGCTTCGCTTTCGCGGTTCCAGAACTTCTGCTCAACTGCTAAGACCTTATTTTTATCGAAAATATTTGTCTTCGACCTCATATCTCAATTCATCATATGTTTAAGCTTTTGTATGCCAAGATTCTTCAAAACCCATAAAATTCGACACCTTTTTCGGCACAATCAATTAGTTCTGGAATTCACAGGTTGGTGTTTACCGGGTTCTGGGTTTGGGAAAGACTTTTCATCTGAATTTTAAAGTAAGAATTATTAAAATTCAGGAAAAAAATTTGGGAATGGATTTATGGGTTGTTGCAGCAGCAGCTGGAGCCGGATATATAGCAAAGAACTGGCAAAATTTCTCAGCCGAAAAAGAGGGTTTAACGGAACCTTCATCTAAAATCTCACTCAGTGTTCAATCAGAATCACGGAATTTACTGCAGCAGATTCGAGATAAAACCTGTCCATTGCGCAGATTAGCGCGAAAAAGAGCACAAAGAGATGTAATTTCAGAGGAAAATAATGATAAAGATGTGAATTTGTTGGAAATGGACAGGTTAAATAGTGGGGATTCAGTAGCCGAAATAGCTTCTTCAAGCAGTGGAAATGCTTTTGAAAATATTGAAGGGCATGAGGATCATAGTGGTGGGGTCTGGTTAACTAAATTGTCACCGGTGTATATTGTAGGAGAAAGTTATGCAGAAAATTCGGGATGTGATTATGCCGAAAGTTGTCATTTCCACAGGTTTAGTAAGAACAAGCTTATTAGAATGTGTTGTCCACATTCCGTGAGGTCATTGAATCCTTCAGAAATTACTTGCCTTGATGCTCAGCAATGTAGAATACAAGATACATTGGAAGAAAATGTGTGTATTCCATCTGCGCCTATGTTTAGGCCGCTGTTGGTAACTGATAGAAGACAAATTATCAGAAGCTTAAGCAGTGATTTATCGGTTGTAGAAGTCGAGGGTGGAAAGGAGGAGGCCGGGAGAGAAGATGGCGCTTGCTTGAAAGAAAATGATGCATTGATCACATCTTTTTCCTTGAAACATTTTGAATCAGCGATGATCCAAAGGGAACCCGAAAAGCGCTCTGATGTTTCACGGCCGAGTGGTTCTAGTGATCGGGCGTCCAGCAGAACTTTCCATTCACATGGTTCTTCCACCACCTCTTGTTTCTGTGGATGTGTTTTTTGCGCGTCTGATATTTTATTTATTTGTTGCAATTTATTCAGTATTCTAATTTGTCTTTCTAAATTGTATTGTATATGTGGGGTTCTAAATTTTTTGTTCAAATTTATGAAATTGACAGAGAAATTGGTGTCCTTAGGACCTGAGTTATGCAATCAATTGAGATGGATAAACGAGCTTCTGCACAGTCTTGATTTTGCAACTTCCTTAGCCACATCCTGTTATTAGATAACTATTTTAATGTATTTTTGGACTATTTTACGTAGATAACACAGTCAATCATTCGAATTTATGGAGTACTTGGTTAAATTTATTATGTTTCAGGCGTTGGATGAGTGATGATAAGAACCATTTTGTTTTCTATGATCATGTAAGAAATAATGATTTTGAGAGAGATGGTATCATTGCTCGATCAAGATGTGAACTTCTGATTAAGTTCCTCTTCGTTTACAAGCCTTGCTTTGCATGTTTCAGGACCTGACCAAATGCTTCTTTTCTTTGTCGGAATGACTATTGGAATAATATCTGCCACTACGGCCAGTAAGAATGAGGTAGAGAAGTTGAATGAGCAGTTGAAGCAAACTCACAATTTAGTTCAAGATTTACACGACGAACTTGAAAATCGCTCTCATAGGATAGATGATCCATCATTGTTAATTCGGGAACCTGTTGCGTCTTGTTCTGAAATGGAAATGAATGAAATGATCCAAGATGATAATTTAAAGGCAAATGATAAAGATACAGAGAATTCTGAGTTGAGAAGCAAGATCGAGGCAGAGCTTGAGGCTGAACTGGAGAGACTGGAGCACAACTTGAAGGCATCTAATCTGGAAAGAATATCTATTGTTGCTGATGTAAGATATGCATTCAGCTTTGAGGAGATCAAATAGCCTGCATATGATCATGAACGCGAGTCTTGGCATGCAAATGAACATGAAGAAAATCAGTCACAAGGCTCCATTTACCCATTTTCATTATGTTGCTTTTATTTGCTTATTTTTTCTCTACTGCCATAGCATTCATCTTACTATGAAATTTCAACCTCTTCCAAAGAAATACAGGAGTACAGGGTTTCTTAGATGAATATAAAAGTTATGCATCAAGGTCTATACAAAATTGATCTTGGGAGTTTAATGCACTTCGCGTTTGCAAGTCTCACGAATTTTAGATACTGAACACGTCTACTCTAGTCTGTTTCTCACAGTAGACCTGCATCCAGGTTGTGGTAAAAACCAAAAGAATCTGACCCGAGCTTTGTTTAAATAGGCTCCCATATTTTGTAGAAAGCACACATATAACTTTCGGTTCACATTGGATGAAATACTTCTGCTTGACTAGTGCTGTCAGAATGGGGCATTTAAAGTTTTTAGATTGATCATACTCAATGAAGTCATAGATATCACTTTTATCTGTCTAAATGTTTTGGGAAACCTCATCAAAATGTTATGATTCTTTGATTTCTGAGAAATTTTTGATTGATCAATACTGCCGTTTACTTCAAAAGTTGATTTCATAGTTTTCGACTGTTTGATACAGCTTGATCCTGATTTCGAACCATATACTGAGCAAGGAAACTTGAAATTAGCTATGTCTGGTGAAAATCATAACTATACATCTGAGTCTGGGAGTGATACAACAGAGACAACCACTGATTACTTGCAGCCTATAAATTATGCAGTTTCCCCTCGGGAGCTGAGTTTGCGCCTCCATGAGTTGATAGAATCTAGGCTTCAAGCACGCATCAAGGAGCTTGAGATAGCTCTGGAGAGTAGTGAAAAAGAGGCTCAAACTCTGGGATCACAGAGCATTGTCTCTCAAAGGATATTTTTCCACAGTGACACAGAATCCTCGTCTTCTCCCGAAGTCCTACATCTGTACATGAACTCAACAAGAGACGGGCATATGGGGATGAATCTGTCTCTTGGTGCATATAATGAGTTCAGTTGAGTATGACTTATAAGTATTAAGAGAAGGGATATGTATACAGTAGCAATGGCATTGATCTAAAGCGTTCTATTTGCTGAAAATTGAAGAAAATGGATCCATTTCACACCATGGTGTTTTTACGAAAAACAAGTTGGCGTCAAGAATGCTTATATCGAATGAGAATCAAGAGGTGAAGATGAAGATAACTAATCGATTTCACAGTCAAAGTAAAGAATGTATTTTATTGAAAAATAAAAAATATAAAAACAAATCTACGTATATCTTTAAAGAATTTTGAATGATGAGTTATGTTCATCAATTAGTTCGTGTCTACTTTTGAAGTAATCTTTGCAGCATATCTGTTTAGTTCCAATTTTGTTATACTTACATCTTGGTCGACATCACCTTGATATTTCATGATGTGGAACACAATTTTATCATTGATTTTAGCAATACTTAAAACAATCAATGGCTTCAATTTCTCAAAAATTCTACTTGTACATAATTTTTATCCACAAGGGTTGGCATAATACTCACATGGAGGTGAGACCCATGTTGTGGGACCTACAAAAGTGGGACACACCCCATGAGAGTATTATGTCAACTATTATGTGAACCTCAATGTACCTCTAACACTTTTCTTAATTTCTACACATCATCATATGTCAACCATGATGTAGAGGTTTAGTTCAGATACTTGGGGAACCTATGTATAATATTCCATTTTGTGCCACTCTTAAGGGGGGGAAGGGGAGTACAGACGGCAAGTGAAAGGCATAACCAGTGCAGAGAACAAATTCTTAAATAATGATGACAATTCGAACTATTAAAATCGAAAATCGCA